TTAAAATGTACCTTTGAGGGGCATCCAGTGCCGGAGAACCGCAGTCTTCTGATTTCCACATGAAGTCCTCTGTGTTCTTCACCTTCTCTACAAACTGGTCTGCTAACTTCCTGGCTTTCTCCAAACATTGTGCTTCTTTTTCAGGACTGCGCCGATCAATGCTTATCAAGTCCACTGCATGAGAAATTCACAGTTCAGACACAACAACTGGACCACATGCTCAACTACAGACATCAGATCTCAGGCCAACTCACCGTAGTAGTCAGAGGGGTTGTAGTATCGTGGACACGGGTACCCAAGAGAAGTAAAGTAATGTACCATGTCCTTGGCCTGACCGCAGTACACGGCTGAACCAGAAGACAAGAGCACTACCAGGTCAAAGAGCTGAAAGATATCTGAACGAGGCTGATGGACTGACAGCAACACCAGGCGGTTCCCTCGAGCCAGACGGTACAATGTAATGACCAAATTATGGGTTGTGAAGCTGTCCAGACCTGAAGTAGGCTCATCTAGGATGAGAATACCTGAAAACACATATAAAACATAAGCAAAGTCATGGTTTTGACCAATGCTATTTTAGTATTGAGATATTATTAGTTTTATTAATCATTTGAATTAGTTTTTATTTGTAAATTTTCTGTTTACATTTACATGTACATTTTTAGTAATTGAATCATTTTTATTGTCTTTATTTTTCTTTATTTTAGCTCACTTAATGAATTTTTTTTTTAAGGTTTTAGAAATCTGCACAAAGTGGGGTTTGCAAGCCATTTTGCTCTTATAATCTATTTCTAAATGAAATAGAGTATTCCACGTTTTGTAGTGTAAAAGAAGGAAATGAGTGGATTGTAAAAAAAGTTAAGTTAGCTAAAAAGACATTTATTTCAGAGGCGGTGGAAGTCATTACATTTTATTATTTAATTATTATCATTTTACTATTTTAATATTATTTTATTTACATTTAAAATTTTTCCAAAGTCTTTTATTATGATCTTCGACTCTTTAGACTTTATTATTATTTGACTTTAGAGTCAAATTCATTCATACCGATTCGTTCAAAAGAGAGTCAGTTCAATCATTTAATCAACCGATTTGTTCAAACACACTGATTCATTGAGGAACGCCATTGCCGTGTGGTCGTATGGCGGTCGAAAATAGACAAAAAAACAGCCAATATTATGTCTGAAATGCAAGCTACTTTATATTTACTTTTTGTTTACTTGAAATGTTGCAAAAAATAAAATCACACATGCTCATAATTGCACCTACTGCCAACGTCCAATCACAGACCTGCGAATATTCAGAACAGCAGCACTCGTGATACTGACTAATTACGAAAACAATTCAATTCAATTCAAGTTTATTTGTACAGCTCTTTTCACGATGCAAATCATTGCAAAGCAACTTTACAGCAAATTAAGTTTCTACAATATTTAGTGGTAGCTTATCAGTGGTGACTGTCAGTCAATCTACATATGGCAGAAATGTACGGAAAAATCAATTAAAGACGTAATCAAACAGACGATGAACACTATTAACAGCAATTATTATATGATGAAATCAAACTGTGGTAGTTCTGTATGTTGTTTCAGGGTTGGCATCATCTGAGGTCCTCTGAGGGGTTGGCAGCATCTCTTCTCAGGTGTTCTGGATCCAGACTGAAGCTTGTGTAAATCCTAGTTACCATGGGATGTCAATCCCGTGGCAAAAACAGAGAAACAAATAGAGACATAATTAGCGTAGCTGCTGTTCCAACCAAGCAAAATTGATTTGTTTAACTCAAACTAAAGAATAATAATGTGCATTTTATCAGATATAACTGCAGTACAAGATTATGATATGTATTATTTGAATGTTTGGCCAAAGAGATGTGATTTAAACAGAGAGAGTGTGTCTGAACCCCGAACGTTATCAGTTACCCCGAACGAATTTCCACTTCATTGCGACCTCCACTGTAAGTAAAATACAGACTGCTGTCCTCCTCTGGGGATGAGAAAAGAACGTCTTGACCCTGTGTTTGTTGAGACATAAAGTGCTAACGTCACAATATAATACCTATATGTTTGACAACACGATTATTTACATGTAAATACAATTTATGCAGTTACTATTGGCATTTTAGTCAGTACTTTTAGTTTAAGGTTTATCAGGCTTAATTGAGATTACACTGCTCATAAACTGATTACGGTCACATTTTATTTATCAAATCTATCAAATGTTAACAGATAAGAGAACTGGAGTCTTCTTTGTGGTTCAGGGTCCATTTTTGCAACAGAGCATTTTGTACAGCATCACCCTGAATGAACTCAACTATAATCAATAGGAAATAAATAATCCTATACTCTTGTTATGAATGTTAAAATGAAGACAACAATAATACAATGGAAACAAAATAAACATCCTTTGAATATACTCACCCTGTACTGTTTGTCATTTGTAGAGCCAAAGCTGTCTTCTGAATGGAAAACACTCTGGTCTAACATGGTGGACGTGGTAGAAAAGGGGTCTGTGCCCCTCTGGTCAGGTGTCCCGCTTAGAGAAGTACCTGCTCCTCTTGTTGTCCTGGAAAAAAACTGAGAGGTGGCAGAGAGAAGCCACTCTATATAGCAAATGGCACAAAGTTCCACTGATAAGAGTCACTGTTTATGGTTCCAGCCTCATCAGTGCAATATGAGCTGGAGTGTTTAGACAGCTGTAGACGAGGATCTGTCACAGTTTGTTTGACCATCGCTGAGAGACAATGAGTCAGTTACATTCATATTCATTGCAGGATGTTTTCCAGAATAATGGGTTAAATGGATCTTTTAAGGTGGTGTCAGAGACGGGAACGTCCCAACCAAATCCGGACTACGTCGATTCGTCATGCAGCCTGAGCGTCAAAAATGTGTCCTATACCGTGAGGTGAGAATACAATATTGACATGACATGAAAGCAGTGAAATGGGTGATTGTCTTAATTCACAGTCTGTGAGAGTTATGCAAAATGTAGCACCTGGTTATTGGTAAACTGTTAAGTTCTTAATGGACTGACACTCTTCAAACACACACACACACACACACACATATTATATTATATGTACTGTATATATATTATTTCCAGCACACTCTGAATGTGCTCAGGAACTTCATAGGTTTAGTCTAGCTGCTAACAGACAACTGCACCTGATACATGTATATGACCAAACAGCTGTTGTATTTTAACACAAATGTCAATATTATGGAACTTAAATTTAACTTAAATTTAACTTGACATGCAGTTAAATTTAGTTTCACAACAGTATTTTTGAACCCCTCCAGTAAAACCTGAAACCTTGAAAAGATCACAATTGTATTAATAAAAATGGATTGATTTGAACAGAATTTCAAAATCCAGCTATTTTAAATTAAAAATATAAATTTTTATTTGCTGAATTGCTTGCAGATGACTAAATTTCAACAATTTAACATTTCTTGACAGTACAAAAATAATTTGTAGAATAACCACTCAGAGTATGTGTGCTTATTGACAGCAACATCAGCTACATAACTAGTTCAGTCTAAAGGTTATGAATGCATGAACTAGCTTTTCTGCATCCGAAACAGGTAACATGCAAAAAACAAATGATTTTTATTTATAATAATGTACATGACTCATCAACAGTACGACCAAGGATGTTTTTTTATTAAGTAATATCATCCTGCAGACTTTATCACATTGACTTTAAGCATAAGTCTCCAATTCATAGGCTACCTATGTTGATGTGTTACAGACTCACCTGGATTCCAGAGCAGCTGTACAGCGATGCTGACCCTCCTCCTCTCATCACCCGACACCCCCCTCACATAGTCGTTCCCCACGCGCGTGTGCGCACACTGCCTCAGACGCAGCTCCGCGATGACATCGTCCACCTGAGAAGCTCAAACAAACACATTAGTCACGCTCGCATTACTTTTATCTAGTTCATTATGTACGCATACATGATCTGAGTTGCTCCCCCGTTGATCTCTCTGTTCCTGGGTGAAGTGCGCAGGCAGCCGTAGTTTGGCCACAGAAGCCAGCGTCTCGCGCACTGTGAGGTGCGGTAACAGGCGGTCATCCTGCCGCACGTGAGCAATGCATTTCTTCACCATGCAGGGAACGTGTGGAAGGTTTCCCGTTGATCAGAATCTCTCCTGAATTCACGGTGCCACCCTCATCTCGACATGTTATGATGTCCAGTAAGGAGGTCTTCCCACAGCCTGGAACCAAAACTTAATTTCTTTCTGGCTTTCTTGATGCTTTTATTCACTTGTGCTTTGTTTAGAATTCTGCACATAAAAGTTTGACATAGGCTACCTGAGCTGCCGATGACAACAAGCATCTGGCCACTGTGCACACATAGGTTTAGGTCCTTTATGACCGTTTGTCCACCTGTCTAAAATCACTGGACTGGAGAGAAAAGATCAGTGCAAGACCTTTAATTCAACAGGCCATCCCCTAGAAAAGAGTTGATCTATGTCCAGCCAACAAATGTAAATATAAAAACCAATAACTCATCATAAAAAAGTGGATATTGCCATAATTGTACATCAATGAAAAAATACATAAATACATGCATGGCAGTTTGAATAGTTTTTTTTTTTTTGCAGAAAAAATTAACTAAGCTATAAAAAAATAACATTACAGTTTGTTTTGACATATTGCAAGAAGACAGGTTACTCTGTAATTTCAGATTTCATTGTGCGCACACTGCCTCAGACGCAGCTCCGCGATGACATCGTCCACCTGAGAAGCTCAAACAAACACATTAGTCACGCTCGCATTACTTTTATCTAGTTCATTATGTACGCATACATGATCTGAGTTGCTCCCCCGTTGATCTCTCTGTTCCTGGGTGAAGTGCGCAGGCAGCCGTAGTTTGGCCACAGAAGCCAGCGTCTCGCGCACTGTGAGGTTTTTTCTTTTTTCTTCACCATGCAGGGAACGTGTGGAAGGTTTCCCGTTGATCAGAATCTCTCCTGAATTCACGGTGCCACCCTCATCTCGACATGTTATGATGTCTAGTAAGGAGGTCTTCCCACAGCCTGGAACCAAAACTTAATTTCTTTCTGGCTTTCTTGATGCTTTTATTCACTTGTGCTTTGTTTAGAATTCTGCACATAAAAGTTTGACATAGGCTACCTGAGCTGCCGATGACAACAAGCATCTGGCCACTGTGCACACATAGGTTTAGGTCCTTTATGACCGTTTGTCCACCTGTGATCAATTATAAAAGCATATCAAATTCAAAGCATTTGGGCACTTAAAAATGTTTGAATGTCATTGCACAAGATGTGAGGTCTTCAGACTTTTTCAGACCAAGGATCACTTGATTGACAGGGACACTGGGCAGGGACACTCATTATTTACTGTATAAAACTTGAAGCCTGGCCTATATATTAATAAACTCAACAGATTGTAATTTGTGAGGGACAATTTTGTTGGACTTTATCTGCTTATCATTAGCTTTTTTTAAATTAAAAATATAAATTTTTATTTGCTGAATTGCTTGCAGATGACTAAATTTCAACAATTTAACATTTCTTGACAGTACAAAAATAATTTACCACTCAACCACTCAGAGTATGTGTGCTTATTGACAGCAACATCAGCTACATAACTGGTATTATATATATGTGTGTGTGTGTGTGTGTGTGTGTGTGTGTGTGTGTGTGTGTGTGTATATATAATAATTTTCTCTGCAAAATCCAGCAAATCAAAGGCCAGATTTATCAAAGTTATCAGTTTATTATAGTCTTTAAGTATGCAATTAACATGAAACGATCGGTGAATAAAAGTTTAAATGCCATAAGCAATCTGACATTTTCTCATAAGTTGACTTTATCTTTGGCAATAATTATACAACTGTTGGGTTATTAATCTAATTATTAATCTTTGTTATTTTATTGAAGTTTCAAACAAAATACTGGCAAACTGAAAACCACTTACTGTGGCCATTTCATAAGCATTTTTTTGTTTGCTTATGTGTGTTACAGTGAACATGTAGGGCCCTGGTGGGACCTTTCATCTTTCAGAAGAAAATGGAGTAGGCAAATACTGAATCAAGTGTCATTTCATGTGGACAGTGGGCAGATAATTGGAATTCTGGGGAATTCAGGTAAGTGACAAAAATAGTATAAAAATACAATGTTTTCAAACTGGAACTCCGTCCCCTTTGGAAATTCACTCCCTGGAATCAGTCATCCTTCCAACCTTGACTTTATAACAATAATAATAAATAATAATAATACATTTTATTTAAAGGTGCCTTTCAGAGCACTCAAGGACACCGTACAGTTGAGTGATAATCATAAAATCAAGACAACAAACAACAACTATTGACATTAAATCATTTCAAATTGATCCGAGAAAGCTAATTTAAACAAGTAAGTTTTAAGACATTATTTAAAAGTAGTCAGACAGTCACTTTCTCGTATTGATTGTGGAAGAGAATTCCAGAGATTAGGAGCAGCACAATTAAATGCTCTAGACCCCATAGTGGCCAGATGAACTTTGATCTGCTTCCTGAAAAATTTCTGAATGAATGAAGGCCTTCTTTCAGTACCTAAAAAGTACTTCAGCAGAAGAAAAACAGGTAGAAAATGGTATTTTGAGGAGTAATTTATTGAAAATGGAAAGAATACAGTCTGAAAAGACTGACCTCATAGGACTTCCACTTCATTGCGACCTCCACTGTAAGTAAAATACAGACTGCTGCCCTGGTGCAAAATTATGAAGAGCTTTAAAAGTGAGAAGTAGAATCTTATACTCTACTCGATATTTAACAGGAAGCCAGTGAAGAATTTTTTGATTTTAAGTGATTTTAACAGAAAATATCACAGTGGACAAAATTATACAGTAGAATGTATAATACATTTACATCCACGGTACACTGTAAATGTACATGCCAATATAAATATCACAGGCAATATGTGACTTTGGTCAACTATAGAAACTAAGTATATATACAGTAGATGAAAAGCAATTGGCTAGGTAACTAAAGGTCAAGTCTGCCACAACCAAACTTAAACAAATACAGTAAAGTTAGCAGAAAAGTTCATTTGTAGAGTTAACTCTGAAATTAGCCATTACACATGAGTTCATTACATTATTCTTCTGAGCTATTCATGTGTATATTCCGGAAAATTAAATAAGCATGGAGAGACGGCCATTATTGCAGGTAATTTTTACAGATTAAATTTAGATGCAAAGAAGCTATAAATCTAGTCCAGTGATTATATGGTGTCTCATGAGCTAAACGTATGTGAAGTTAAAGTTTTTCAACTTTTTTTTTTGCACAATAGTGAAAGTTATAGTAGCATTGCTTTTAGTCCAATTTCAGCAGTGTGAACTTCACTGCACAACAATTACAGATATAAACAGACATGACGCACAAATCCACAACCTTCTGACTCATCTTAAAAGGAATAGATAAACATAAGACCAAAACCGAAGATACAGATAAGAATTTAAACAGGAGCAAAGTTTACAATTTGTGAAGTGTTGTAAGTGTCGATAATGTGCACCGTAATGCATTTACGGCTAACTTAAAGCACAGGTTCTCTACCCACTGATACATGCACACTTCACATAACAGAGGTCAGCACTAATTGGATGAGCATGTGGCTTCAATAATAAAATATTCTGTGATTTTTCATCAATTAAAATGCTTTTGTGAATATACAAAATACTATTTACTACTATACTACTATTGTATACCATTACCATAAATATTGTGTGTGTGGGGGGGGGGGGGGGGGGGGGGGGGGGGGGTGTTGCCAAAGTTGGTCAGCACAGTTTCTTGTACATTCTATATCATTCTTTCCATTATTTAATATGTATGTCAATTCAATCTATGTATTTTAGCATGTCAACAATCAGCATCATTTTTAAAGAGTGCACATGTGAATAAATGAGTAAGGAAACCCCGGAGTATGAAATAGAGGGAACCCACAATGAATCAAACCTGAAATAAAGTAAAACAGCAGGGAATGAAAACAGCAAAGTAGTCCTCAGATGATTTCACTACAGCAGCCTCTCTGAGAAATGCTGCGATCTTGAATATAAATGTCATTAGCAGAACTTATTACACGGCTACCTGTTTCTGCAACGATACATCGCACTATAGTAGTTAAGCAGCGAGTTACATCATTATACAGGAAATGCATCTCAGGCTGATTGTATTGTTGTTTATGTAGAAATATATAGCCTTATTTTGAATGCTTATATAGATTTTTTTTACTCTCTCAGAGTGACAATCTCTTGAGCTATCTGACTGTGGAGGAGACTCTGACATACACTGCTCAGCTTGCTTTGAGAAAACACTCTTCTGAGGCCATTCACAAGAAGGTAAGCTCGTTCCCTTCACAGATATTTGCCACATCACCACAGATATGGAAATATGGACAAAAATCGATTAAAAATCGATTAAAATGAAATGAATACAGAAATCTCAAATACCTACACATACCATAACTTTCATGAAGTTATGATGAAGACATCACTCATATTTGAATAAGCTGATCCCTGTTTGATCCATCTTAGGTAGCTGCAGTCATGGTAGAGCTGAGTTTGGGACACGTAGCTCACAGCATGATTGGAGGCCGCATTTTCCCAGGCATTTCTGGTGGAGAGAGAAGGAGGGTCTCCATTGCCAGCCAACTGCTTCAGGACCCAAGTGAGCTGCCCTCTGCCTGAGACTTGTTAATACTAACCCATAATTGCATAATGTTTGTTTATGTTTAGTGTACAAACACTGTAGTGTGTGTTCATTTCCTTGCTTGCACATAAGAGAGACTAAATGTTATTTAAATGCAGAGCGACCAGCACAGCGACCCAAAGCCCCTCAAAGGATTATTGAGGAATGGACAAATGAGTGAAAGGGACTGAAGTAGAATATTAAAAGTGGAAGACAGGGTTATCACATTTTTAATATAAGCCGTGGGTCCCTTTGGATCCTTTATCTGGGTCACCTGGGACCGTGGACTATGGATTAGTCGAGCCCACTCCAAACTGAACACAAACCAGCAATTATAAGTGGCTTTCATCTGCTGCCTTCTCCAATCAAGCAGTAAATGAATCCATCAGCCAATTTGGCTCTAACTTTAGACAAAGGGAAATCTATTAATTGCTTTAATTACTTGAATTAAGAAGACACTCAAAGTTGTCTCTCATAGGACAGAAAGTGGACTTTGTAGAAAGTTTCTCATTTGTTTCATTTCTTCTCATGTTTTTTCATTTTCCGTTATGTCATGGCAGAGGTGATTCTCCTGGATGAGCCGACCACAGGACTGGACAGCATGACGGCTAATCAGATAGTAGTGCTGCTGGCTGAACTGGCCAGAAGAGATCGAATCGTCATAGTGACCATCCACCAGCCCCGTTCAGGCATAGTGGATGCCTCTGGAACTGATTCTGTTGAAACCCTTAACTGTACAGATGGCCATTGCAGTGGCTAATGCTCATGGCTGGTAACCTGAAGGCCTATTGTGCTAGGATGATGAAAATTCACTTTTAAAGTGTCATATATTGTACTTATCCTTGAGTCTCTTCTGGAGAAATGAACCAAAAATGTTGATGATGATAACATTTTTGGTTCATATAAAATTAATGTATATAAAAAAAAAAAAACATAATAATAATTTAAAAAATGAATAATAACGATAATAATTTTACTTGTTAAAATGAATAAAAACAGACAAAAGCAACAATAACAAAATAAAAGCAAAAAAAGCTTTTACTTAAAAGCTAACTGAATAATGTGGCTTCACATGCTTTTTCACATGCTTTTTAAAATATAAATAAAATAAGACTAGAAAAATAATAATAAGCAACTAGAAAAAAGCATGTCTTTATCTGGTTTTGCCTGTATTTAAAAAAATTAATAAAACAAGATAAAACAGTAACCAGAACAATTATTTTTTTAACTACTTCTAACAGATCAATAAATATTACAACAAATGTATTGCTTATTGTTAGTTAATGTTAGTTAGTACAATAACTAGCATTAACTAATGGGACCTTATTGTAATGTATTACCATAATAATAATTTAATACAATGATTTAAGAGACTTTTAAAAAATATTTTACTCCAAAACTAACCTGAAAAACATGCATCTTCACCATGGTGCATATGAAAACAGTTATATTAAATTAGTATATTTTACATTAAGCGCAGTGAATTATGTTAGCATGAATTGTGATAGCCCTCATGATACAAAGTCAGATGACTGAAAGGTATATAAATATCTGCATATCTCCTGAGGTAAAACTCTAGCTATGACACTGACTGTCACAATCACCAGCTGGAGTGCCCTGGACATCCACCACAGGGCACATTGCCACTCCATCCTGGACTCCATTTCCCACAATTCTTTGCCTGGTCTCATCTGCTGTTTGCCCCTCTGCCTTGTTTGTCGTCATGAAATTACACTGTAAAGAGTAAAAATATGCCTTAAAAGAGCTTTTTCTACCTGTCCTGACTTTTAAAATGAGTTTGGTTTGTGGTTAATTTAGTCATTTTTCATGGGTGCCTCACCCTATACTGGCATGCTGAATGCCGTGGTTTTATGTGAGTATCTCATCCACAGTTAATAACTCAAAAATATCTCTGGAGTCAGAGGACACATTCATTGTTGAGTATTTGTCTTCTTTTAAATTAAACAGGACTAATTACAGCCATGTGCTTTTGGACACAGGTAATTAGTACAGACAAACGAGAAAATATTCCACTACTTGTGAGGTTTGAAAACAGTGAGAAAAAAAAGTTGCTGCATTGCATTTTAACAAAGCAACAAGCAGTGTTATCATCATTAACTAAAACATTTATGTGAACTAAAATAAAATACATGTTAAGTGAAATAAAATACAAACCCGATTCCAAAAAAGTTGGGACACTGTACAAATTGTGAATAAAAACAGAATGCAATGTGGAAGTTTCAAATTTCAATATTTTATTTAGAATACAACAGATGACATCAAATGTTTAAACTGAGAGTATGTATCAATGTTGCCAATTGACCTAATAAGTTGCAAATTGGTCCTCCAGCTTATATGTACGTTTAACTTTTCCGACCTCTTATTGCTACCTGTCCCAACTTTTTTGGAATGTGTAGCTCTCATGAAATCCAAAATGAGCCAATATTTGGCATGACATTTCAAAATGTCTCACTTTCAACATTTGATATGTTATCTATATTCTATTGTGAATAAAATATAAGTTTATGAGATTTGTAAATTATTCCATTCCTTTTTTACTCACAATTTGTACAGTGTCCCAACTTTTTTGGAATTGGGTTTGTATATTAAAAAGGCTTTCAATTATACTTTCAAGGCAACCAAGACATTTCTAATATTTGTTTAGTTTAAGTACTAAAGAATTACTTTAATTACTTAATTACTACTAACTTAAGAAGTAATTACTAAAACTAAATAACTATACTAAAAAGAATAAAAACTAAACAGATATATTTAAGAAAAAACAAATAAGATGAACAAAAATGCACAACAAAATTACTAAAACTAAAATGAAAATGAAAATGAAAATTATATATATATAAATATATATATATATATATATATATATAAAAATAAAAAGAAAATGAAAAATATATATATATATATATATATATATATATATATAAACCTAATCCAGAATATTAGTAAATTCTATAATACTACATTTGTGATACAAAAATAACACTGGTCTCAAGAATGTTTGATTAAGTCAGTGCCTTTAGAGAAATAATTCCTGTCATTTATATATCAGTTCCTGGCTGATAAGAGATCACATCTCACAAATTGCTCCAGCATGCCCATGATTATTGCTTAACCTTGAACTTAGAGCACTTGAGTTGAGATAACACATAATTGGTAACACAAGACATGTCTGCTACTGTATTTTCACTTTCATGCAGTTTAAATCAATATATAGTACTTGATAAGCGTGGAAAATAGTTGTCTGCCATTTTATATATATATATATATATATATAATTTTTTTTATTTTATTATTATTATTTTTATTTTTTTTATTTCCTGCTTTAAGAGCTATCGCTGACCAGGAGAGTAAAGATGACTTGTACCAGAAGTGGCAGATGTTTCTGACTTACATCATCCATATCCTGCCCTTCAGTATTATCAGTGTGTTCATCTTCACCTCTTTCTTGTACTGGTAAGTATGGGTGTGTTCGTGTGAGCAATTGAGTTTATCAGAGCTCAGGGCAGGGTAACTACAGTTCAAATCTGAGGGGAATGTCCTCATAATCTTGACCTCATGCTGTTTCTCTGTGTGTGCTTTGGTGTTTCAGGACTGTTAGCATGAACCCAGATCCTGTGCGCTTCATGTGTTTTTCAGCCATGGTCATGGTTCCTCACATCATAGGTGAACTTTTAACACTGGTCTTGTTGGGGGTCGTTCAAGACCCCAATATGGTCAACAGTGGGGTCGCTCTACTCAGTGTAGCTGGAATCATGGTGGGATCTGGATTTCTAAGGTGAAGAAATGACTTTGATTTATTCAACACTGTGTGCATTGAAGACATTATGTTCTGCATTATAGATTGGATAAAATTTCCATCAGTTACATGACATGATATGTAATTGATGGTTCACCCTAAAATGAAAAATTGCTGAAAATGTACTCACTCTCAGGCCACCCAAGATGTAGATGAGTTTGTCTCATCATCATAATAAATTTGGAAAAATTTAGCATTAGATCACTTACTCACCAGTGGATCCTCTGCAGTGAATGTGTGCCGTCAGAATGAGAGTCCAAACAGCTGATAAAAACTTCACAATAATATACAATTTGGCTTCAGTCCATCTGTTAATGTCTTGTGAAGCAAAAAGCTGCGTGTTTATAATAAAGTTTTTTAACATCAAACTGTTGCATCTTGCCAAAATATTTCTCCAGTTGACAAGGTGTCTTATATGAATCAGGAGAGAAATATGCACAGATCAAGCACCGTCAAGCACGAATAGTCCAAAATGGTTCTAAACAAATATGTTGGTGGATTTTGATGTGAGAGGACAACAGGTGATGGATTTGATTTTTTCACTTGGAGGAAGTGTTATTTTAGAATATGGACTATTATGGTGTTTTGGCCAGTAGTGGCGGTTTAAAGTTAAAAATATCTTGATGGATTTGTTTATTACAAACATGCCACTGTTCGCTTCACAAGACCTTAACTGATGGACTGGAGTCGTGTGGATTATTGTGATGTTTGTATCAGCTGTTTGAATTCTCATTCTGATGGCACCCATTCACTGCAGAGGATCCATTGGTGAGCAAGTCATGTACTGCTAAAATTCTCCAAATCTGTTCTGATGAAGAAACAAATTTAGAATTTTTGTTTAAATTTTTTTTTTTTTACTATACCTTTAAGTGTGAAGTTTCATAAAATGTTTTATCCTTTTAGGAGTTTTAAACAAATGCCTGTGGTGTTCCAGTGGCTGAGTTATCTAACCTTCCAGAAGTACGGCTGTGAGCTCCTGATCGTCATTGAGTTCTATGGCCTGAACTTCATCTGCAGTAAGAAAAATCATCTTCTTCCTCAATAGCATACTTCTAATGGAACCCATGAGATGGCTTGACAAGCACAGTTTCTGTGTTAATGTCTTTCTTATTGAAATAAGAACTTGAGGCCAGACATATTGATATAGCCAGTAGTTTCTAGTTTACATCATTACCCACAGCATGTCAAATATCATCAATATTATTGGACTGTTTTACCTGATGAAGTGTGTACAGGTGCATCTCAATAAATTAGCAGGTCGTGGAAAAGTTCATTTATTTCAGTAATTCAACTCAAATTGTGAAACTCGTGTATTAAATAAATCCAATGCACACAGACTGAAGTAGTTTAAGTCTTTGGTTCTTTTAATTGTGATGATTTTGGCTCACATTTAACAGCCAAAATCATCACAATTAAAAGAAGCAAAGACTTAAACTACTTCAGTCTGTGTGCATTGAATTTATTTAATACACAAGTTTCACAATTTGAGTTGAATTACTGAAATAAATGAACTTTTCCACGACATTCTAATTTATTGAGATGCACCTGTACATTTCGAAGGCATTTATCTGCTATTTTTTATTTGTCTGAATCAAAGCTAATAGACATTGACAAACTTTACTTTTGATTTCATGACATATAATGCATAAGCTGTCCACACAATGTCCTCTGACTAACCATTCCTCTCACTCAGCGCCTTTAGCTGGTTTGCCGGGATCATGTCTGGTGGACAGTGGGGGATATGATCATAGATCAGGGTTATCCTGGAGCTCTCTCGCATTACACACAAGACTTCCTCCCGCTCTACGCCTTTCTGCCTGCACTCGTGATACTGGGCATCATCAGCTTCAAGATACGCGACCACCTCATCAGACGCTAAGCTTCTGAGTGTGTGCGTGTGTTGGTGTGCCTGAGAATGTTATTTTATGTTCTTTATTTTGTATATAGAATATCTCTAAATCATAGTAGACTATATCCAGAAAACCTCAACATGAAGCTGAATCCATCAACCTTTTCCATAGTTATTGATTCATTTTCTCCACAATGTAGGCCCTAATGTACCATTACTGTTTGTGGTATACATCATAATTTCTAATGTGACTGTAAATACTCTGTTATATACAATAAATGTTTAATAAAACATGTACCTGTTGTTTTAAAATTTATTTAGAATGAAATGCCATTTACAGCATTTAAATAAAAAGGCCACTTCATACCAATGATTGTTCTGCTTATTTTCATCCACATGTGAATTTTTCATATGAATGCTTGTATTAATGTTTACATCATGCTTTCATTCAACAAATGCACATGTTCTGTCCCTGTCTGTTCTGAACAATATTTTCATGTGGTTATTTCAAACAACAGCAAGATCATGTTGACAGCCTTATATTATTAGTTTTGTTTGTTACGAAAATTAACCCTGGCTTTACTACAAAACCATAAAGCCATAAAGACTATGGTTATACAAATGGTAATCAATCTGTCCAAAAAAAAAAATCATGGTTACTATACTTTTACTATAGGTAATTAAACCGTCTTTATTTTTCCCAAGAGTTCTCTACCGAATACGATATGAAACATTTTCAGTCCAAATTTATGTAGATCAAAATAAATACTGTTTCAAAGCATCTATATCTAGTATCTATATCTATATTTGTCACTGTGAACTTAGCGTGGAAAGAGAGAACACTTCGAGAAAACGGGAATAGAAAAGAAAATTAGTTTAAGAAATGAAGAAAAACTTCATTTCCCATAGTGCACTAGATCAACAGATTTTACGTCATCAAACAGTGCCGTTACCCCTCGCAACGGAACGGTAATCAAGCGTCTCCTTCATTCGACAAGCATCAGATTCAGTACAGGACCAACGTTAATCTGACTCGAAACTCGTTTCTTCGATGAAACCAGACGTAAACTTTTTTTTTTTTTTTTAGAAACAAAGAGTGATAATGTCTAAAATAAGGTAAGCTACTGTTTGAGCTAACAGTTACACAACATTGTTTTACACCCATTTCGATGTTAGCTTACAAGCTACCCAGAGAGAGAGAGAGAGAGAGAGTGAGAGAGAGAGAGCGATAGAGTGAGAGAGAGAGTGTGAGAGTGAGAGAGAGTGAGAGTGAGAGAGAGAGAGCGATAGAGTGAGAGAGAGAGCGATAGAGTGAGAGAGAGAGATAGAGTGTGTGTGTGAGAGTGAGAGTGATGGTGATAGAGTGAGAGAGAGAGTCGAGCTACATACTGCTTTAGTAAACATGGAGATGCTGCTATTAAGATCATGTTGTCTCGTAGTTCGGATACGTTGTGGGATATTGCTGCAGCGGAAGTGTGCAGCAGGGAGAGCAGGACTGATGAAGAGGATGCTGAAGAGGACGCGCACTTTCCCACACAGAGAACAGTCTTCTTCATGGGCAGTAAAGCAGGGGTAAGTTATGCGTATATATGCCTGCAGCAAATCACTCTAAACGCATAGGCCTACCTGAAGTCTTTAGGGTTCGACAATGCTTTAAAATGTACGTGCTAATACCAAACAATGACACTTTTTAAACATTTTACATTGCATCTCTGTTTTAGGGTAAAACAACAATATTACTGCGGTTCCTTGATAGGTGAGTTTAAGATACTGTCATTCTGTACATCTGAAGTTATTAAGGGTTTTCCTGTCACCTCACATCATGTTTCTGTTTTACTCTTTAAACCAGAGATGAGACAGCTAAACCTACACTTGCACTGGAGTACACTTTTGGTAGACGTGCAAGAGGGCATAATACGGTATGAATATCGTCCTCCTCAGTTTGTTATAGGAATAAAAATGAATTTCCCTTTTAATTTATATATAAGAGTATCTTTTTCTCCTCTCTGCAGCCTAAAGACATCGCTCACCTGTGGGAACTGGGAGGAGGAATTTCCTTGTCAGACCTCGTGCAGATTCCCATGACGGCTGACAATGTCAGGTTAGATTCGCAAACACTGTACACTCATTCAGACTGGATTTAAATAGAATTTTTTACATTTCATAGTCCCTTTTTTTGGGGGTTTCCACAACAAAATAAAAATAATAAAAGTGATTACTTTTTTTCTCACAATTCTGCCTGTTTTATTTTTTTTTGCAGTTGCGAGTTTATATCTCTGACTTTTTAATCAGAATTCTGAGTGTACATCTCGCAGTTTTTTTTCTGAGAATTCTGTTCACATTTAAAATGTAACACTTAAAAAAAAAAAAGAAACAGAATTGCTAAATGTAAACTCAGAATTCTGAGAAGAAAAGCCTGAAATGTGAGATATAAACTCGCAATTGTGAGGAAAAAAAGTCTGAATTTTGAAATAAAAAGTTGCAATTACTTTTATGTTTGTTTTTTTCCCCACCACTCAATATATGTATATTAATTGGGACTTTCTTAATCTCACAATTCACACTTTTTAGAATTTTATGTTTTTATTCTGTGGTGGAAATAAACTTCCGTGCATGTTGCAAATGCAACAAATACAAATCAATTGTGCTTGTTTTTACAGTTCTTTGTCTGTAGTACTTGTTCTGGATCTGTCTAAACCCAATGTTCTTTGGGAGACCATGGAGAGGCTGCTTGATTCAGCTCGAAGTCAGGTGGAAAAAGTGTGTGCCTCACATCAGAAGACAGGAGAATCCAGATACGGCAAACAACGAGTCCCACGAGTCCTCCACAAGGACTATCCGGTATGAGAGAGTAACATAATTGCTATAAAAGAAGCTTGAAATGGAATGTATCAGTCTATTACATGAAACAATCTCTTTTCAACAGGACAGAGAGCTCATCAGCCCTTTCCCTGTTCCTCTTCTCATAGTTGGAAGCAAGTTTGACATCTTTCAGGTAAAATCTCACTATGCTATATAGCCTTCGGCTTTCTACAGTATACACTTAATACTGCTTTCTGTGTTTTAAATAGTATGCAAAACAATACAGTATGCAACAGTTACATGTCAAAGCATTACCTTTTTTTAATTTTTTTTTAATTAAATCTGCAGTAAAATGTCAACTCTTGGCTGTCCGAATCAAACATTGAATGATGAATCCAGTGAAACACTGAAAAGTAATTCAAACTTACCTAATATTATATTCATCGATAACATTCTATCTCCTTCTAGGACTTTGATTCAGAGAAGAGAAAGGTGATTTGTAAGACTCTGCGCTTCATAGCCCACTTCTACGGAGCCTCATTAATCGTAGGACTGACTTCATACTACAGAATTTCAGAATGCGGTTTGAAAATGATCATGGATCATAACATACAGAAATTTGAAGCTTCAGAAAAACAATAACTGAGGAACTCTAAACTGACATCACCCTTCTGTGGCATAACCAAGCTTTATAAAATCACTCATTTAGCATTTCTGTTTCTCTCTGGTCAGTGTTATATTTGTATGCTGTCCGTCTCTCCATAGTTCACCAGCAGCAAGTCAGAAGCTACAATGTCTAAAAGCAGGAGTTTTGTTAATCAGCTGGCGTTTGGGACTGAAAGACCGTATGAATCTTTCATTATCCTCTTGTACTGATGTGGGATATTCTTCACTACTAAAGTTTATTAGTCACAGTAAAAAAAATGGTTTTTTATTCCATTCTATTAGAAAGTCAATCTCTACTGACCCCAGCAAACCTCTGGCAATACCAGCAGGCTTTGACTCCCTCAGTCAGATTGGTAAGATATGCATTGAGCTTTTGATTTGGTTAAAGATTTTTTTATTGTTAATAATGTTAAAATTTGTTTGTTGCATATTATTATTATTTTTAATTATTATTGATATATTGCTATACATTCAGTTTTTATTACCTTCGAATTTAAAAAGTGTAATGAAATATTGCATCTAAAATGCACAATTATAAACACAAGTATAAGCCCAATTATAATGCACTATATATTCATTTTTCATGTACTCATATATGTGACACTGGATCACAAAACCAGTCTAAAGTCGCTGGGGTATATTTGTAGCAATAGCCAAAAATACATTGTATGGGTCAAAATTATAGATTTTTCATGTCAAAAATCATTAGGATATTAAGTAAAGATCATGTTCCATGAAGATATTTTGTAAATTTCCTACTGTAAATATATTCAAACTTCATTTTTGATTAGTAATATGCATTGCTAAGGACTTCATCTGCACAACTTTAAAGGCGATTTTCTCAATATTTCGATTTATTTTTTTTTGCACCCTCAGATTCCAGATTTTCAAATAGTTGCATCTCGGCCAAATATTGTCCTATCCTAACAAACCATACATCAATGGAAAGCTTATTCAGCTTTCAGATGATGTATAAATCTCAATTTTGAAAAATTGACACTTAAGACTGGTTTTGTGGTCCAGGGTCACATATGTAGGTGTTCAAAATATTTTTAATTCATTCATCTTCTAGGCCCGCCTGTAACTTCTGATGTTGATATCGGGACTCTTCATGCCAAAAACCCCTTAGACCTTTGGAAAAAGGTTTTTGAAAGGGTTTTCCCACCTGAGGTACAGTTTCCTGCTGTGTAAACAGTGATAATGGTCAATAATGTCTGCCTGACCCCTGACCTTTTTGTCTTCAGAACATCAAGGAACGTAAGGAGCTGAAAGATCCTGCCAAAGACCCCCAGTACAATGAGACCCTTATAGACTCTATCAGAGCTCAGAAAGACCAGGTAAAATAATTATTGTCACTGTAAAATCTCCCTTCAGCAAATATTTGTCTTCTAGTAACCTCTCTAGTCATGTGTGTGTATATAACCCAGCAGTAAAACTGACTCAGTACTGTAGCCATTAACTGATCCTCCAGAGTACAGTATGTGACTGAAAGTTACCCTGAACCTCACACTCATTGCCCTTCAGTAGCTTCTCACCTATTCTGATTCAGTGCTTAGTGACTGCAGTAATCAGACAATATGTGGCAGAGGGTCACTATTGCAGTTTAATCGCTCGGATTGCAGTTTTTGTACACAAATTCTAGAGTATAACATGTTCAATTATGCCATTATGTAAGATTAAAAAATAATATAATCTTATAATTGAATGATTTTCTACACATTAAACAACTTTTAACAAGTTTACAGCATGTTTATAGTTTTTAGAAAATGTAGAAATCTGATTGACTGCACTATAGTTAAACTATCAGGTACACAAATGTATTTAATGTATTAGAGAAGAAACATTGCGTTGTATTTTTTTTTCTCAGGAGCTGGAGCAGTACAAGAGAGAACAAGCAAAGTCATGGAAAAGTTTGGCTCTGGATCCATAGATTTCACTCAAAACCTTTTAGAAGACCTACATCTGTATTAATGTATTGTACTGGACTTCATCCACTTTCCATTATGTACCATAAAGAATGAAATGTCTTCATGTATGAATATTGCTATAATGTGTAATGGTAGTATGGCTGTCTATGTGGCTAACGTTTGTAGCTCATATTGCTTCTTTGTAGTTAAATACAATTTTGAGAATGTATTTTGTAAATAAATTATTAAATGGATTATTTTGTATATTGCCCTATCAAAGCATCCCTTGATAAATATCAAATTATTTCAACTGGACACAACACACAACTCGAAATTAAACAAAAACTTGTTTTAATATGCTGTTCCCCCCCCCTTTATTGAGAATATGCAAAATTATGTAAAAAAAGAAAAAAAGTGCCATAACAATTAAATGAATTGAAACAAAAATAAATAAACTAAATAATAATATTGTAGTTAAATACAATTTTGAGAATGTATTTTGTAAATAAATTATTAAATGGATTATTTTGTATATTGCCCTATCAAAGCATCCCTTGATAAATATCAAATTATTTCAACTGGACACAACACACAACTCGAAATTAAACAAAAACTTGTTTTAATATGCTGCCCCCCCCCCCTTTATTGAGAATATGCAAAATTATGTAAAAAAGAAAAAAAGTGCCATAACAATTAAATGAATTGAAACAAAAATAAATAAAACTAAATAATAATAAAAAAAAAAACACTGATATGATACACAATGTGTAAACCTCATGGAAAATCAATGTACCAAGCACTTTATCTGCTGTCTCATACATTGGCAGACTGTCACACAGGTTGTTTTGTCAGAGGGGCGTCCCACTGGAAAGGCATCTTGTAGTGAGTACAGCGGGATTTAGTGGTGTCTACTTCATTTCACATGCCTTTGATGTGCAAAATGAAACCATATCACAAAGAATCAAGTCTTGTCAAACCCAAAGACCGAAAGACTACGCTGAGAATACTGGGCACTTAGTGACATCATACATGTAGAAAACAAAGAAAAGCCCACTGAATGTATTCTGTCAGGTACCAATCTGCACTATCGTCTAAGTCTACAGTTACACTATTTACTCTTCCTACAGGGCTCCTAAAGAAAGGCCAGGGAAGTGGTTCAGGTTTACACCAACATCCTCCTAAAAATACAGACAAGCAGCAGAAGGAAATAAAAACAGGTAACAGTAAACACACATGAGAAGGCGGCTAGTAGGTATCAGAGCATCATGAAGACACAGACATCTGTCTATGCAGAAATGTTAGTCATAAGGCTGATTCAGCTGTGCTGATCAAAGTAGCATAACGGCAAAAATCGATTTAGCCAGGGTACAGTTTACCAGTCCATTAGTGCATGCCATGCATTTGTCTGCAAGTTCCCTCTCTATGTTTTAGTAATTGAAAACTACAAAATTATGCAAAGAATTGCAATGGATATTTCAGTTTCCAATGATACAAATTCTTCATTACATTCAAAAAAAAAAGAAAAGAAAAAAAATCAAGACCCTTATTAAGCTAATTTAGAATAGCTTGAATGCACAAAATGTAACATCTAAAACATTTTCCAAAAATTACAGTTATCTAAATAGACAAATTTCAAAATACATTTGCTGAGTTTGCGCATAGTTTGCTGTATTTGGGTTTGGTAAACTGTGCAGAACGTGTTGGTAAGCTCAGAGGAGAGCAGACAGGCACTGGAGCTGTTTTTGTCTGTTCACGACGTCTGGTAGTTCATTGGGCTTGGATGGCCACTTGCTTCCTGTCACATGCAGCTGTGTGTGTTTTGGTGCGGTTTTGCTTAGTTGAGCTAAGCAGTCAGTCCAGATACACAGGTGTGATGCTAAAGGTTACACTACAAGGTAAAACACCAAACAGACCTCATACAGAATCCTGTAGAAGGGCACATAGTACATTATACATACACATTAAAATATCCATTCAGGAACAAGTTACAGTATGTAGTTTTATTAATCCAGTTTACTAACAGAAAGTATTTTATTTGCTAGCGATGGCACTCTCCTCTCCAGTGGGGTGTGAGCGGTTGAAGTTGAGTCCTACACTGGGTTTCTCTGGGCTGGTTATGATCGTTGTTGGCGGCGGCTGAGGGGCTCCATTACTGGGCAGAGACCCCCATACGTTCTGAGACCCAGGACTGCTTTTGGGTCTGGTGGTGGTTGGACTTGTCAGGCCGAGGCTGGTCAGAGCGTCAAGGGTTCCATCAGGGTCCACCATGACATTTATAACTGCAGGGATAGAGAAACACATCAGAAAATGTGAATGTTTATGTATTTTATTTAGCTAAAACTGCATATACTTATTTAAATTAGACCAAAAACATCACAAGTTGACTATGATGTAACAGTCAGAAGTTATTTAATTATATATCAAATAATAAAAGATTTGAAAAAAGCTGAACAGTATATCGAAAGTAGAAATGTGCTTGTGGACAGTTTAGAAGATTATTAAGGCAAGCTAAATTTAGCTGCATTGTGCTGCTGTTGCATTTAGTGTAGATGTGGTGTAAGTCTTACCTTGAAGCTGTTTTTCTACCCTCTTCAGCTCTGTTAGTATAGATGAAATTTCCTGAATGCCATAAAGAATAATTAGGAGAAGTACAGATCAATATCTGTTACTGTAAGACATTCAGCATTTAAAGGCATAGTTCACCCAAAAATTTCCCTATGATTGAATCACACTCAAGCCATCCTAGGTGTATATGACTTTCTTCTTTCAGACAAATCCAACAGGAGTTTTATAAAAAAATGGCAGTGAATGTGTGTTATTTTTCAATAGTTTAAAAGAAGTCCAATAAAGTGCATCCATCCATCATAAAAAGTGCCCCACGACTCCGGGGGGTGAATAAAGGCCTCCTGAAGTGAATCAATGCGATTTTTTGTAAGAAAAATATCCATATTTAAAATTTTATAAACAGTATTCTCTAGCTTCCGCTAACTGGTATGTGCATACACGAGAGAGTGGCGTTCCAGCGGACGACGCAAGACGTAAGCATTGCCTAAAGTCCGATGAGAATATGCTAATCTCGCGAGAAGATTTTGCTTACAGGAGCAATGGAAGCAAAGTTTCCTTTGTTTAGCAAAAGTATTATATTAAAAATGATTTAATATAACTTTGGGTTAATATAACGATTGGATTCGTCTGAATCCAAGTCATACACCTAGGATGGCTTGAGGGTGAGTAAATCATGGGGTAATTTTCATTTTTGGGTGAACTATCCCTTTAGAGAACTTACCTTGTTTGTAGTTTTGGGAAGTGGAACTTCATTGTCCAAACAGAGTTTCCTCTCAATATCATCCCAGTTCCTGTCTTTGTCTTTGAACAATATCCTTTAAAATAGTGAATAAGTAGCAATATTACAAATTTGTCTTTTAAATGTTACAAATAGTAAAAAAAAAAAAAAAACACACACAGAAGATTACATTTATCCATGATATTTGATCTATCAGCAGTTACAGTTTACACCTGAAAATGTAAAACTGTAATACAAGCAGTAAATTCCTACAGAAAACCATGTAATGTTTTAAAACAGTGCTTCTCAAACTTCACTGAAATGGAGGACCCACTAAATAAAATTAAATTCACTGAAATTCATGATTCCTTAACTTTCAAGAACAGTATGTTCTTGAAAAGTTTTTAAAGGGGAAAAATATGGCTTGAGGGTGAGTAAATCATGGGGTAATTTTCATTTTTGGGTGAACTATCCCTTTAGAGAACTTACCTTGTTTGTAGTTTTGGGAAGTGGAACTTCATTGTCCAAACAGAGTTTCCTCTCAATATCATCCCAGTTCCTGTCTTTGTCTTTGAACAATATCCTTTAAAATAGTGAATAAGTAGCAATATTACAAATTTGTCTTTTAAATGTTACAAATAGTAAAAAAAAAAAAAACACACACAGAAGATTACATTTATCCATGATATTTGATCTATCAGCAGTTACAGTTTACACCTGAAAATGTAAAACTGTAATACAAGCAGTAAATTCCTACAGAAAACCATGTAATGTTTTAAAACAGTGCTTCTCAAACTTCACTGAAATGGAGGAACCACTAAATAAAATTAAATTCACTGAAATTCATGATTCCTTAACTTTCAAGAACAGTATGTTCTTGAAAAGTTTTTAAAGGGGAAAAATTAATTTTGATTTCAGTCCTTATATTAATTTAGTATTTTATTTAAAGCATTTGAATTTGTGTATATAATTAATGGATATATTAATTCATTAATTGATATATATATATATTTGCATCTTAGCACATGAAAATATGCGTTACTGCTCCATTAACTATATTCTAGTCCAAAATAATAAATAACAAAATGATGTAAAATATAGCACCTTTGACAATGTAAGAAGTAAAAAAAAAAGCTTTAAATATTTTTAGTTCTACAGTTATTCAGTCTGTTACATTTTCAGCAATTATAAAATGAGCGTTTATGTAATTTGGTTTAATGAGCAACACAGTACACATGTATGACTGACCTGATTTTGCCAGCAGTTTTATCTACAGACTGTCGGATTTTAGAAGACAGTTGGGAAACCGACGTCAGCAATAAACTGTCTAGCACCACCTGCAAAAGAACAGCCATCAGTCAATAACAACCGTTTCAATCAATAATTTACCAAGCAAACAACATCCAGTCAATAAAACACTGAGGTAATTCAACTTAATCACATCATATCAGTTTTCACATCACCACTCACACACCAGGCTACAATGAACAAGATATTCTCATCTGGAGCCACAGACACACACTTAAAAATAACCCCCACACCCTGAAGTCTGCTGAATCATTCACTTAACACACATTCATAAAGACCTGAAAGATCAGGTCCATTTCATGAAGTTAACACCGGTCTCACCTCATCCCGGTTCCAGGTACGCCTGCGTAGGGCCGCCTGAGGGTCCAGGCTGTCCGGGGCCCGGGGACGAAGCTCCACTGGTCTGCCATTGATCTCTGAGGCTTTGGTATGAACTACAGGGGGAATCTTCCTGAAGTTTAGACTTTCGTCAAAAACTCTCTCAACCAGCTGCAGAAAAGGAGAATTAACAACAAAGTTATTGAGAATAATCACCTTGTAAACTAATAAACATCTTGAAAGTGAGTAAGGCGATGTGAGATGTACCTCCTCCCTGGTGTCGATGGCGGAGCCCGGTGTGGTCGCGGCTGTGCTGACCGTGGTGCTGGGCGCCGTGCCGGAGGAACTGACCGAGTCGATCTCGCCTGCCACGTCATGGATCTCTCGTGCCAGGATGGCCAGGTCCTTGGCCAGGTCCTGACTGATCCTGCGCACACAGGGAAATAACCTGTAAACATTCAGATGGGTGTCTAGACTAGGGGCGCACAAAAACACACACATCATGCAAAGACTCACATTAGGTAGTCCCTACTCTATGCATGCACATGCTTATATATGCAATCCCATAGCAAATTGTATGGATGACATGCATCACATGCATCATTTATAAAAACAGAATTATTATAACATCAAAAAATAGACTACCATAAAATTTTGGGGTCGGTATTGATTTGTTTTCTTAAAGAAATCAATACTTTTATTCAGCAAGGACGCATTAAATCGATCAAAAGTGACAAAGACTTTTACATTGTTACAAAAGATTCCTTAACTGAAAAACTTCTGCTCTTTTGAATTTTTAAGGGTCCTCAAGAAAATGCATGAAGGTTTCCTCAAAAACATTAAGCAGCACAACTGTTTTCAACATTGATAATAATATGAAATATTTCTTGAGCACCAAATCAGTATATTAGAATGATTTCTGAAAGATCATGTGACACTGTGTAATGGCTGCTGAAAACTCAGCTTTACCATCACAGCAATACATGACAATTTAAAATATATTAAAATAGAGAAGAGTTATTTTAAATTGTAATAGTATTTCACAATTATACTGTTTCTACAGTATTTTGATCCAATAAATGCAGCCTTTGTCAGCATAAGAGAATTCTTTCAAAAACAATTAAAAAAATCGTACTGAACCTAAACTTATCATTAGTGTATATAATATTATAACATGGTAAACACATCAAGAATGTCTCATTATATATGAATCACACATTTGTTGTATATAGGTTTTGATTCATGGTTAATTATTATGGTATTGTAATATTGAGAGGGTTTTTAGAATAACCACAAGGTGGCAGTATACTACACAACTTTAACAAATATATGTGGCATTTATGGGTTGCTAAAGATGCAATGTGTCACTTTTGTGTGGAAAAATGTGGAAAATTCACAATATTGTATTCTTCAATAAAAACACATAAAACTAAAACACATAAAACACATGTAACTTATATTACACATACAAAATAAAAGTATGAATAGTGCTTCTGAAATGTACATTTAGCATCATGTCCACTCACATTAAGATAAAGACCCGTCATAAAAGTAGACAAATAAAAGCTGTTTGATTTTACATTGAGTGGGCTGCCACATGAGAGCTGCCATGCTGAGATCACTTGAGCAACTGAATTAAACTACTACGGTAACCCCACAGTTACTGGACACAGTCATTTACAGAGTAAAGTAACCACAGCTAACCGCAAACACCGCATTTCTAAGGGCACTGGTAACTAAAAACATTAGCTTTTTGCTGTTTGAAATGTAAGTAGATAAATGAGAACATGAAAGCAGGGGTTAATGACAGATAAAGACAGAATAAAATGTCAAAAAAACAATATGATAAAGTAAGAGAGAGAGAGAAAGAGAGAACGAGCTTGTGATCAACTTATATCAGTGTTTGCCCTGCAGCAGCGGATTTGAAGACAGTCTCTCTTGTTGCTGTTCCAGCTGTGACTAATGCTACATGAGAACATCTCCAGAGATAATAGACTATATTCCCGCATGCAACACCAACACCGAGTGTCCACTTTTTCAGCGGCCTTGGTTCTCAATGTTTTTTACCCCATTCATTTTCTCCAAAAGGATTTCAAAAGATTTTTCATTAAAAAGATCTAAACTTTGAACCACACCAAACATTACCGAGATGAACCAAAGTCTATGGTTTTTCTGATTTTCAAAAAATGTTTACTTCAAATCTAAGGAATATCTCATGAGATAAGACTGGATGAACAGTCAAGCATAATGTAAAGATAACTATATCGTACGCTTCGTGTGTCAAGTAACTGTGGGGCATTTGAATGATGTAATGTGTTTGTGTGTATAAGGACACAGAGTTGATGAGTACCTGGCGATCTCCTCACTGTGAGCTGTCCAATCTCGTATGTACTCCTCCTGTTCTCTCATCCTGTTTTTGAGGAGGAGACCCCCGGGGCTGGTCGTGACCGGAGCCGGACCACCCAGCCTGCTGGTGCGAAGAGTGGTGCCCGGACGCAGGCGAATGTGTTTGGGTGAGTTCCGGTTAGAGCCAAACTCATCCTCAGAGGTAGAGGCATATTCAGGAGGCAGCCGTCTCCACCGGTTAGTGGCTGAAAAGAGAGGTTTGATTGAAATGTTTACAGAAATACAATTAATAATGAACAATAAAGTCCCATATGAATTGAGGGGGTGGTTACAGGTTTACACACATATATATATATATATTTTTTTTTTTCTTTTTTTTTTCAAAAAGGCCTTTAAGAGCATTTAATGTATGAGTATTTTTGTCAGTATTATACACACAGTCTCCAAACTCCTTGCATCTCTGTTACATGATGCAAAAATCTTCTTCCCCACTGGCTCAAGGTTTAAAAACATGGCAACTAAAATAATCTGTTATAATTATATTCAAAATTCAAGTATGATTGTTCAACAATGTTGTTGTTTCATATTTGTGTTATGTTGTTTATATTACTGTATACACTATAACAGTTCCCATAAAAACCTTGTTTCAAATGGGGATGGAGCAATTGTAGTTATCAAAATTATGTATAGAGAGTTTAAAACAAACCAAAGAACTTTGCAGTTACCTCTGCAGAAATCAAACAGCAAAGCTCTTCTGACCAACTATCTCTAAAATAAGAGAGACTAGCAAGTGATGAAAATGACATTTGGGATGGTGGTTTTGGTAGTTATGATCTGGATTGGCAATGTAAAGGCTGTGGGTTTTATTCAAAATAAGTGTCTTTCATAAACTCCAGGATGTTTGCATCTGAAATGAATGTTTTCTTTGCGCCTGCAAAGTTGTTTGCTGTCATGTTGTTTTAACTTTGTGCCACCAGGGGGAACGTGTTTAACATCCACTGACCCTCATTTCTTATATTGCTCAGCGCTTACATCAGCATATGAGAAACAACTTTGCTCTGATTTTGACTGTGTGGCATTAAAGCACAAACATCTAAGAAGTCATCATTTCAATATTAACATGATTCATTAATTACTCAATGTTCCCCCAGAGCACTGAATCTACAAATATATCTTTACTCTTTTAAGCACTTAATTATTAAGGCCAATGTGATGTGGAGTGATGTGAAAGACCAGATATCTCCCTTTAAATATTAATTTAAAGGGAAAGCAAATAAACTGAGATCCTTTTCATCACTGAGTTTGATTAAAAAAAGAAGCATGAATTAAAAAATGAAATCACACATTGATTGTAATAACATTTAAAAGCATGCTGAGTTCGAGTTTCTACGCACACACACAGCCCAGAGATGTTACAGTACCCATGGGCTCCTCCTCTGCGAGAACACTTTCAGCCTCAAGTTGAGTTTCTGTGTAAAATGTGATCTTTATAAATATCACAAGCATGCAGAGACAGACAATTACAGACAGACATGACTAATTACAGAGATCCAGTCCACATAAAACATCACAAAAATGCACTGCTAAATTCTGCTGAATGCTAAAGGTCTCATTATAAACTCAGTTAAAACAACCAGACAACTGTGCAGATTTTATTGACTGCAGAACTTTCATACAATTGTTATTTTAATGACTTGGAATGGAAATGCACCCTATTTATTTTCTGAATGGACCTTAATGATGTTAGTGTTAACGGCTTATTTGTGCATGTTTTTTTTTCTTTTCTTTTTTTGGAATTTAGAATTTTGAAACAGACTGAATGAAGAAAGAAAAGACGTTCTTTCTTGTCGTCCACAGAGGGTATGTGTCAGAGGGGTTATGTCTGATGTGCTCAGGTTGCCCACAAGGCTGTGTTCTTTCCCCTGTGCTTTTTTCTCCCTTTACTAATGAGTTTACGGTTAATGAGGAATATTTTAGATTATTTAAATATGCTGATGATATGGCCTTTAGTAGGCCTATTGGATAAAACAAATTCCTCACATGATGTTGTTTATCTGGCTCACACTAAGGAGCTAAGACAAAATAATTAATTATGTGTGCAAAACAAGATATGACAATTCAGCCAATTTTACTTGAGGGCCAACAAGTTGAAATTGTGCAACATTTGAAATATCTTGGTTCAGTTTTGGATTCTCATGTGTGTTATACTGAAAACACAGAGTATATTTTCAAAAGATGTTCACAGTGACTCTTTCTTCTTAGACAACTGAGCAGCCTTGGTGTCAGTCAGCATATTCTAGAACTAGTGTACAAATCCATTGTTGAGACTGTATTAACTTTTCATATCCCTGCCTGGTATGATCATTTAAACTGCAAATCCAAGAACAAACTGTCCAGAACTGTGGTAATGGCAAGTAAAATAGTAGGTAGGATACAGAAGCCCTTAACACAACTCTACACTGAAAGGACAAAGAAGGTGGTGAGGAGTATTCTAGCACATAGTTCTCATCCTCTCTTTAGTCAGTTTGAGCCTTTGAGGTCAGGAAGGCGCTATCGAATTCCTTTAGCAAACAAAAATGTGTTTAAGAGGTCTTTTATTCCTAATGCCATTAAAATCCTCAACTCTGCAAGTGACTGATAGTGGCATGAACTATTTATATATATATATATATAACAGACAGTTTATATACAGTGGGTACGGAAAGTATTCAGACCCCCTTATATATATATATATATATACTGTATATATATATATATATATAAACTGTCTGTTTAGCCTTTTTATGTATTTTTTAACTGTCTGTTTAGTCTTTTTATGTATTGGTGAACCAAAGAAAAATGTCCACCTTGGTGGACAATAAAGATATACTCTACTCTACTTTTTGGTTACCAAAATTCTTCAAATATCTTCTTTTGTGTTCAACAGAAGAGAGAAACTCAACTATCCCTTTAATGTTTTCATCGTTCATCATATGTAAGAAAAAATCTAGATATAAACCTCTAGATAGACCTCACTATCCGATTAGTCCAAAGGTTCTCAGCTCTGGCCCATCGAGGTCCACTTTCCTGCAGAGTTTAGCTCCAACCTTGATCAAACTCACCTGTCAGTATCTTTCTAGCAATCCTTAAGACCTTGGTTAACTTGTTCAGGTGTGTTTGATTAGGGTTGGAGCTGAACTGTGCAGGAAAGTGGAACTGTGCTAGTCAGTTAGACTACATCAACACAATACTTTGACCTGTCTCTTTATCTCAAATTGGCATTAAAAAAATCACCTCACTTCTGCTTTTGGCATCTGCCAAGTAACATTTCCAATCATGCAGCAGCTGAAAGAGTATATTAATATAACTATCATATTCCTCCTCACCTGATGGAGTGCTGTTGACAGGTGCTGTCTTCGGCTTGGGGTCCGCTAGCTTGGAGACACTATTAGCCCTCATCCGTGCAGTTAGCTTGCTGTCTGGTGCTTGCGGATTTGTGCTTCTCAGGCCCAGACGTAGTGCTGTCTCTGCAGACACACGTGTCGCCGTGGTCCTACTGACCGTGGCCTCCGAATCGCTCCGTGCTGAAATCGAGCTGGGTCTGGTGCGGCGAGGTTGTGCTAACATGTCGATGCGTGACTGCGCCTTCCTCCCCAAAGGTGGTTTGGAAGTAGAACTGGTGGTGGACACCTCAGACGCCACTGAGACCCTGTCCGCGTCCGCCAGATCTGTGTCTGACGTGTCTCCAATCCGAGCCCTGCGCAACAGGTATGCCCTTGTGGAACGGGGCTGCGGAAGACCAGCCTGCTTCGCGAGGGCCGCGGTGCTAGTTTGCAATGTCTTGCTGGGCTTTGCGGACCTTGCAGATTTGCTGGTATCAAGCTTGGACTGCAGAAGGTCATCAGTGGAGGTGTAGTGACCTTTGGTGTGTGAGCGACTGAAATACATCTCCTGGTCCGAGGACAGGATGTCTGAGATGGGTAACGAGGAAGTCTGATCGTCATCAGTGAGATCTTGGGATGGTTGGCGGCTACGGGAGGCTGTCTGTACTGAACGACGAGTATCTGAGCGGCTTTCTGTTGTCTTGGTCTTTGTCTTCCTCTCAAGACGTTCCCTTGCGCTGGTTGTGGTTTTTGATGCCGTGCTCGCATTGCTCTTCTCTCTATAAAGGCTGCTGAGGGATCGACGCTTCTGAACCGCCTTGCGATCACCCTCAGCTGCCGCCTGGCTGACCGTGCTGGCCGTGTCGATATCAGATTCGGGGGATAAAGGGCAGGCTGGGGGTGTTACCGGGTCCAACTTTTTCTCATCGCGGAGTTTAGCCTCAAGGAAAGCCATGACAGCTTCAGTGTCCTTGAGAAGAGTCACCGTGTCCATGCTGCCCACCGAGTCACTTCGCTCCCTTCCTCCATTCTGCCGGTTGATACGAGGAATCAGTTCTATGGGGACATTACCGCTAGGCTTCTCAATTGTAAAACTACCTTGCCTCACTAGTGGCTTCCCAGACCTCTCCCCATCACTTCCTTTACTCTTGTCCTCTGAACGCCTCCTGCGACTCTCCTCTGATGCTCTCCTCTCTCCACTTCCCGAGGGACGCACAGATGAATGTTTTCCTGCCTTCCCGTCCTGCTGGATGCTTTTGGATTGGCTAGAAATAACATCCTTGTTGTTTGGAGTGCCGATGCACTCGCCATCACCTTTATGGTCATTGTGGCTTTCTTTTTCCTGGGGTTCTGTGTCCTGTTTCTCACCGATCTCAGAGCGCTTGATCTTTTCCTGTGTGGGAAGCTGCGGAAGAGTCCTTCTTTTGCGCTCAGCTTGGCTGGAAGTGGTAGAGCCGGTGCTCTTGATAGAGATACCAGCCTCAAATGCATCACCATCTGAAGTGAGAAAAGAAAATACATATTATAGAAATGCGACCATATATACAGTACTGTTTAAAAGTTTGGGCTCAGTAAGATTTTTTTTTTAAAGAAAATTAATACTTTTATTCAGCAAGGATGCATTAAATAGAACAAAACAAAAGACATTTATAATGTTACATACAAAAATTATATGACACTGAAGACTGGAGTAACATCTGCTGAAAACTCTGCTTTACCATCACAGGAATAAATTATATGTTCAAATACATTAAAATAGAAAACATTTATAATTGTAGTAATATTTGACAATATTACTCTTTTAAAAACACTACAAAAAAATCTTATGGACCCCAAACATTTGAACAGTAGTGTACATATACATTAAGAATACATAAGTAATAGTGGATCACAAAATTGTGATTATAATGAAAATGCTGAATTGAATGAAATTAAACGCTAAGATATTATCAATTAAATTAGGGATGGTACCATTTATGGGTACCATACCAGTTACTGGGCGATATTACAGACCATTTATGTGTTCATACAATTCAGTAAATTACCTCGCTCTTGATGGACAAAAGCTGGTGGTTCTGCCCCAGAGCCCTCTGGGTCTGTTCGCGTTTGATTAGCAGCTAAACTGGCCCACTGTGAAACCCAGTGAGGGCTGCCGACTGCAACGGAATCTTCCACAAGTCTCTATAAATGAAGCAAACATGTTTCTCTAGTCAGTACTAATCAGTTGAATTACCCCTGCAATAGTTGTCTGTGTTCCAGTCCTGCAGAGCTGATGACATGGGTTGTGTGATACATTGGCTTTTTGCTATGATGTGGAGTCTTCATTATATTTAGAATGTCTTTTCCAAACAAACTACACTGATTTGATTATGTTAGCCTTGGCAAGCACCACTAAAACAGTTAAAGGGGTCATATGACGTTGCTAAAAAGAACATTATGTTGTGTATTTGGTGTAATGAAATGTGTTTATGCAGTTTAAGGTTCAAAAAACACATTCTTTTCCACATAATGTACATTATTGTTTCTCCTCTATGCCCCGCCTTTCTGAAACACGTTGATTTTTACAAAGCTCATCGGTCTGAAAAGCGAGGTGCGCTCTGATTGGCCAGCTATCCAGTGCGTTGTGATTGGCCGAATACCTCAAGCGTGTGACGGAAATGTTACTCTCCTTAACATACTGTGATGCCCTGTCCAGCACGATGAGACAGAACCAATAAAACCCATTTCAAACGAGGCATTTGTTGCATCCAGTGGAGACATAATTACTGATTATAATGACTTGTTCTGTGTTTTTACGTGTTGCGTATCGCGCCGTGTAAACATAAAACCATGTCTGCATTTGTGATCGGAGAAACGACAAACAAACAAGCGCTACTCTACACTGGTTAAAACTCGCGTTTGAATCATCAGTGTCAAATTCTTTCAATATAAAAAATTTACTTACAGGCTGTGAGTCAGAAGCGCCAGACTGTCCTTGCAAAGTTGGAACTGCCCCACTTTATAGAACAGCCTTTGAGCACAGACCCATTGTATGCTACTCTGCAGGTTCAGGAAACAGTCCTCCATAAAATGCATCACATAGTGTCACACACTGGGAGCTGAGTGAGGTGCGGCCAGCGTGCTTGAGAATGGCGCGGCGGGCGGATTCGACGAAGGAGCGTCCGGCGGGCTTGCGGCAACCACATGTGACAACCCCGGGCTGGACTCCGCTTCGTCCACGGTAAAAGCCGATCCGGCGATCCACAGCGCGAAGTCGATGTATTTCTTCAGTGACCAGCACAGATCAGCTCCAGGCATGATGAAGCGGATATCGTATCGCTTTCACAACAAAACACACAGCGCCTTCACGACATGGCGGCGGCGGCAACAACAATACTACAGCGAGAATAAAAGTTACGCCTTCTTTCTTTGCGTGAACATTTGGGTGGCGTTATGCAAATCTTCCCACATCGTGACGTAGATATGTGGGGGCGTGTTAGAACGAACCGTTTTAGGAGGGCGTGGACAAGTCTTAACTTTTATAAAGAATATCTCTTTGGATTTGAGACTTTAGTCTTTGCAACTTTACAGATCTTCTTTATGCACCAAGAGCTTGTAAAACTCCAAAGAGAAAGGAAAAATTTAAATCGCATCATATGACCCCTTTAAACAACAATAATCAAAAGACTAGAGTGAAGACTGGGTGTAAACATGGCACGGATCCACAATGAGGATTTAAAACAAGGACTCTTTTATAGTCTTATTCTTGTGTGTGTGTGGATATTGCCTTAAGGAACTAGACTACTACTTCTCATTCCCAAACTGGGTCAGTGAGCAAGTGGCCAGTTTTCAACCTAACAAGGAAGTGGTCAGTGGAGGGAGTGACTGACAAAGCACTGTGTCAGTATTCCTGAAAGTCCTTTCTATGTAACATTAAACCCAATCATTCAAACTAGAATGTGAAATGCAGTTTCAACTGGTGTAGTCATAGTCCAAAACACATTAGAAACAACCTGTTTTTTGTTTCATGTGAATCTGCTGATGATATCAATAAACATGGTTGCAAATTATGATAACCTGTCATAGTCACTTTGACAAAAGACAGGTGTAAATGACATAAATATATAATGATAAGATAATAAAGGATAAAATAAATGGTAGTTTATAACACAGAATAGCTCATGCAAATCCATTAATCTAAAAGACACTCCAAATGACAGCATGATGCAGACGTGTTATAAAAGCACTTAAGTCTTTACCTCAGACAAAGTGGAGCTGAGCTTCTTGCCCTCCTTTGCTTTTCCACCAGCTTCTCGTTGCTCAGGGCAACCAGGATCCTGAGAGTCCTCCACCCCAAACACCTACACATGACAAACACAACACATGCAGGAGAATCAAGAGCTGCTGCTCTTATTGGCGAGCTGTGACACAATGGCGGCACCTATGTGGCAAAAAGAGTTCAAATAGACACAGCTGCACAGACTCCATAGCAACAGAGCCAGAACAACATCTTAGGAAGGAACAAACTGGAAGTATTAATGTCAGTTCAATAAAGACACCTACACAATGTTGTTAAAAAGTAAACTTACGTCAGCTTTATTGACAGTCAGTCTATATAAAACTAATATTTCTGTCTATCCACCTGACTATTTACTGATCCATCCATCACGGCTGGATGATATTCAATATTCACCATATATTTTTTATTAATTTGAAATTAATTTAACCTGCCTTTAATTTGGTTGTTCATTTCATTTGTTTGTTTCTTAAAAACTTACACTACCTGTTCAAAAGTTTGGGGTCAGTAATTTTTTTTAAAAATACTTTTATTCAGCAAGTACCCATTCAATTCATCAAAAGTGTCAGTAAAGATATTTAAAATGTTAAAGAATCAAAGAATCCTGAACAAATCACGTTTTCCACAAAAAATATTAAGCAGCACAACATTGATAATAATAAGAAATGTTTCTTGAGCAGCAAATCGTCATATTAGAATGATTTCTGAAGAATCATGTGACACTGAAGCCTGGAGTATTGACTGCTTGAGTAATTCAGCTTTAATTACAGAAATTAATTACATTTTAAAATATATTCAAATAGAAAACAGTTATCTTAAATTGTAATAATACTTCAAAATATTACTGTTTACTGTATTTTTGAACAAATAAATGCAGTCTTGGTGAGCATAAATGCCTTCTTTGAAAAAACATTTAAAAATCTTACCAACCCCAAACTTTTGAACAGTAGTGTAAATATCGAGATATCTATCTAGATAAATCCCCAGATGGCTGAAAATGTTAAGCATTTTTTATTCACCCATCATTTACAGCTGAAAACAACCAAATGTGCAACATTCTTATGTTTTTAATTGTATGTTAGACACAAATGCATGAACATTCATAAACACTAAGTAATAGCACACAGACGTGCATTAAAAGGCAAAGCTTTAAAACTCCCTGAAGATAAAATGAATAAAGGAGGAGTTGATCGGTTGGCCACATGAGAGCCGTTATAAAGCCATTAGACAGAGAGCTTCACAGCAAGATGCACTCAAACTGCTTGATGTTCAGAGACACATTTCCAGGACAATTACAACATTCACAATGCACTCAAGAGAGCATGTTGAGGATCATTACAGTGCTTGTAAGGCTGTATTGATATTCCTTAAACATTCTGACCTCTAATTTATAACCCAGAGTATTAAATGTATGCATTTAATAAAGCCAGACTCAATTCAAACATTGTTTGCACACAATTTCAGCCTTAGTGCTATCTACAGTATTTTTTTATTTTTTTTCTTCCACTGCTCACAAAGGGAAGTGACTCCCATGTTAATCTGTGAGTCTTGTGACGAGTGATGAGGTTTAATGACAGTGAACTACCATCCTCCACAAACCAAGCCAGCTGGGTGTTCACAAAAGGAAACATGTCCGTATACAGACAATATTTAAACACAACTGCAAAACTGCCCATTAAATTGATAGTTCACCCAAACTTTAAATTCTATCATCATTTACTCACCCTCAAGTAGGAATTTCTTTCTTCTGCTGAACACAAAAGAATGCTGGTAACCAAACAGTTGCCAGCCCCCATTGACTTTCATAGTATGGAAAAAACATACAATGCAATCAATGGGGACTCGTAAGGTGAAAATTTTCATTTTTGGTTGAACTATCCCTTTGAGACACAAATCATTCCCATCTCCTGCCTGATAAGCTCATCAGAACATTCATTCATTAATAAAGTATTTGATTTAATTCAGTATTGCTAATAATACTGTAAGTAGTCCAGATACAATGGTGACAGATCATGGTTTGGCTTTACCCATTATACAACACCATCACTTCACAATATTTCACATTCATTATGATAATCAACCAGGGTTATGGTTAGTTTTCATACCTTATCGATCATTCGGCGTGCCTCCTTTTCCTCAGCGTTGCTTTTATCCAGTTCAATGGTGTATGTTCCCTTGTCGCTCTGGTCGTCGTCTTGTTTCTGAGCATCTGTGGGACTGGGTTGACCGGTAGTGGCAGGGCTCAGCACCCCTTTTGGGTTTTCTGATCTCTGCTTGAGCAAGAGTCGGGCAGCCGTGGGGGCGACCGCCGCTAGGGACGATGACATGCCCTTGCTGCCGTCCGCTGCCGTGGCGACGACCTTAGGATGTGAGGGTGGTGCAGGGCAAAGTCCCTCTCCTGCCACGCCTCCGAGCAGCGGTGCGGTCTGTGAAAACGAGTAGGAGCGCCGTTTGCGAGGGTTATCCTCGTCATAGAACTCGATCATGAAGGCTGTGCGGCTCACAGAAGACAACCCCTCTGTTTTGACCTGGCCCACTCCTGCGGCTCTCAGGCGCTCCTCCAGTGCGGCATGGCGTTTGCTGCCAAATCGCAATCCTAGGCCGTTTTCGGAATCGCTCTGCGTGCCATCCTCGTGTTTACTGCCTGTAACGGAAGATCGTTTTGATGGGTTATGGCAAATTTGCACACAGAACAGGGCAGTGCTTTCAACCAAGCATGCAACTTCAGATGCAAACCTAACCAGGGCTAACACAAATCCCCCATACGATTCACCCTGAGGCATTACAGTGGACTACAATACCGGTTAAGTCTCTGGATGCTAACTAAGCCCTACTCTCAGCGAGAGCACAGGCGAGGAAATAAGAGGTGGAGGAGGGGGTCGTCTATTCTTCAGCTTGGTCGGCTGAGGAAGCAGCATGCAGTCAGAAGTGACAGCCTCTGCTCTGGGAGACTGGGAGAAACAACTACACCTCTCTGAGAGTGGCCTTTCACGCACAAACCGTGAAACAAAGCAGCTCTTCTGTGTCTCACAGCATGTTCTTTGAATGAGGAGAGCTGGCCCCACCAGCCCTCTATGAGTCAGACTGCATTTACTCTAACTAGTCCAATAACACCAAGCAAACACAAATTATACAAATACAGGAATTAACTTTTAGTATTGTTTCAGTGCCTCTAGTTCAAGCTCTGTATAATGTAAACTACCGTTCAAAAGTTTGGGGTCAGTAGGATTTAAAAAAATAAATAAATTCACACTTTTATTCAGCATGGACACATTAAATAGGTGACAGTACATACTTTTATAATGTTATAAAAAATAATTCTAATTGGAAGAAATGCCATTCTTCTGAACTTTCTATTCATCAAAGAAACCTAAAAAAACACAGCAAAACTGTTTTCAACATTGATAATAATAAGAAATGTTTCCTAAACACCAAATCAGCATATTAGAATGATTTCTGAAGGATCATGTGACATTAAAGACTGGAGTATTGATGCTGAAAACTCAGTTTCACATCAAAGGAATAAATTACATTTTATATTGAAATAGAACAAGACAAAACCTAAAGAGAGATTAAAGAGATGTTCATATTCTCATAGATTCAATCAATACTGGATTGTCTGATTTAATTAACCTCCCAATCCTGATTTCAGACTGTGTATTTAATTAGACAGGAAGGGTCATCTGATCAATATACAACACAACAATAGCTTTTTGTAAGTGACGTTTAAGGGCG